TTCTGGTAATGCATTTACTTGTTTCTGTCAGTTCAATTGACCTTATTTTGCAAAGTTAACACACTCAACATTGACATTGTTTTCCAAGGAGTCTTGAGTTAAGATAGAACACTGAACTTTATCTAAACTACAAGGTAGGGGGTAGACTGCCCCTCCTCGAGGCACCCAAGGGGATTATTCTGCCCCAGTGAGAACATAGTCCTTTAGAGAGGTGGGTGCCTTGCTAACTTGCAGTGGACAATGTTGTGCCACTTCAGTACCCAGTCCGGGGGCGCCAGCACAACAGTCTTGTGCAAGATTATCTGGCTCCTGATTTGTCGAGTATTGTTATGCCTTTATTTGTGCCCATCAGTTCAGTTGATATCACTTTACCAGCATAACTCACTCAATATATACATTGTTTCCTAAAAATCTTCAGTTAAAATAAAACACTGAACTTAATCTAAACTATGAGGTAGGGGGTAGACTGCCCCTCCTCGAGGCACCCAAGGGGATTATTCTGCCCCAGTGAGAACATAGTCTTTTAGAAAGGTGGGTGCCTTCCTAACTTGCAGTGGATAATGTTGCACCACTTCAGTACCTTGTCCGGGGACGCCAGCACAACAGTCTTGTGCTGGATTTTCTTGTCTCTCACTTGCTGATTCTAGTAATGCATTTACTTGTTTCTGTCAGTGCAATTAACCTTAATTCACAAGGTTAATGCACTCAATATTGACATCGTTTTCTAAGGAATCTTGAGGTAAGATAGAACACTGAACTTTATCTAAACTACAAGGTAGGGGGTAGACTGCCCCTCCTCGAGGCACCCAAGGGGATTATTCTGCCCCAGTGAGAACATAGTCCTTTAGAGAGGTGGGTGCCTTCCTAACTTGCATTGGATAATGTTGCGCCACTTCAGTACCTAGTCCGGGGGGTAGACTGAACAACAGTCTTGTGCTGGATTTTCTTGTTCCTCATTTGCTAATTCTGGGAATGCATTTACTTGTTTCTGTCAGTTCAATTGACCTTATTTTGCAAAGTTAACACACTCAACATTGACATTGTTTTCCAAGGAGTCTTGAGTTAAGATAGAACACTGAACTTTATCTAAACTACAAGGTAGGGGGTAGACTGCCCCTCCTCGAGGCACCCAAGGGGATTATTCTGCCCCAGTGAGAACATAGTCCTTTAGAGAGGTGGGTGCCTTCCTAACTTGCAGTGGACAATGTTGTGCCACTTCAGTACCCAGTCCTGGGGCGCCAGCACAACAGTCTTGTGCAAGATTATCTGGCTCCTGATTTGTCGAGTCTTGTTATGCCTTTATTTGTGCCCATCAGTTCAGTTGATATCACTTTACCAGCATAACTCACTCAATATATACATTGTTTCCTAAAAATCTTCAGTTAAAATAAAACACTGAACTTAATCTAAACTATGAGGTAGGGGGTAGACTGCCCCTCCTCGAGGCACCGAAGGGGATTATTCTGCCCCAGTGAGAAAATAGTCCTTTATAGAAGTGGGTGCCTTCCTAACTTGCAGTGGATAATGTTTTGCCACGTCAGTACCCAGTCCAGGGGTGCTAGCAGAACAGTCTTGTGCCGGTTTTAATTGTTCCTCATTTGCTAATTCTGGTAATGCATTTACTTGTTTCTGCCAGTGCAATTAACCTTAATTCACAAGGTTAAGGCACTCAATATTTACATCGTTTTCTAAGGAATCTTGAGGTAAGATAGAACACTGAACTTTATCTAAACTACAAGGTAGGGGGTAGACTGCCCCTCCTCGAGGCACCCAAGGGGATTATTCTGCCCCAGTGAGAACATAGTCTTTTAGAAAGGTGGGTGCCTTCCTAACTTGCAGTGGATAATGTTGCGCCATGTCAGTACCTAGTCCAGGGGCGCCAGCACAACAGTCTTGTGCTGGATTTTGTTGTTCCTCATTTTCTAATTCTGGTAATGCATTTACATGTTTCTGTCAGTCCAATTAACCTTAATTCACAAGGTTAATGCACTCAATATTTACATCGTTTTCTAAGGAATCTTGAGGTAAGATAGAACACTGAACTTTATCTAAACTACAAGGTAGGGTGTAGACTGCCCCTCCTCGAGGCACCCAAGGGGATTATTCTGCCCCAGTGAGAACATAGTCCTTGAGAGAGTTGGGTGCCTTCCTAACTTGCAGTGGATAATGTTGCACCACTTCAGTACCTTGTAGGGGGACGCCAGCACAACAGTCTTGTGCTGGATTTTCTTGTCTCTCACTAACTGATTCTTGTAATGCCTTTACTTGTTTCTGTCAGTGCAATTAACCTTAATTCACAAGGTTAATGCACTCAATATTGACATCGTTTTCTAAGGAATCTTGAGGTAAGATAGAACACTGAACTTTATCTAAACTACAAGGTAGGGGGTAGACTGCCCCTCCTCGAGGCACCCAAGGGGATTATTCTGCCCCAGTGAGAACATAGTCCTTTAGAGAGGTGGGTGCCTTCCTAACTTGCATTGGATAATGTTGCGCCACTTCAGTACCTAGTCGGGGGCGCCAGCACAACAGTCTTGTGCTGGATTTTCTTGTTCCTCATTTCCTAATCCTGGTAATGCATTTACTTGTTTCTGTCAGTTCAATTGACCTTATTTTACAATGTTAACACACTCAATATTGACATCGTTTTCCAAGGAGTCTTGAGTTAAGATAGAACACTGATCTTAATCTTAAATACGAGGTAGGGGGTAGACTGCCCCTCCGAGAGACACCCAAGGGGATTATTCTGCCCCAGTGAGAACATAGTCCTTGAGAGAGTTGGGTGCCTTCCTAACTTGCAGTGGATAATGTTGCGCCACTACAGTACCTAGTCCGGGGCGCCAGCACAACAGTCTTGTGCTGGATTTTCTTGTCCCTCACTTTGCTGATTCTAGTAATGCCTTTACTTGTTTCTGTCAGTCCAATTAACCTTAATTCACAAGGTTAATGCACTCAATATTTACATCGTTTTCTAAGGAATCTTGAGGTAAGATAGAACACTGAACTTTATCTAAACTACAAGGTAGGGGGTAGACTGCCCCTCCTCGAGGCACCCAAGGGGATTATTCTGCCCCAGTGAGAACATAGTCCTTGAGAGAGTTGGGTGCCTTCCTAACTTGCAGTGGATAATGTTGCGCCACCTCAGTACCTAGTCCTGGGGCGCCAGCACAACATGCTTGTGCTGGATTTTCTTGTTCCTCATTTGCTAATCCTGGTAATGCATTTACTTGTTTCTGTCAGTTCAATTGACCTTATTTCACAAAGTTAACACACTCAATATTGACATTGTTTTCAAAGGAGTCTTGAGTTAAAATAGAACACTGATCTTTATCTAAACTACAAGGTAGGGGGTAGACTGCCCCTCCTCGAGGCACCCAAGGGGATTATTGTGCCCCAGTGAGAACGTAGTCCTTTAGAGAGATGGGTGCCTTCCTAACTTGCAGTGGATAATGTTGCGCCACTTCAGTACCTAGTCCGGGGGCGCCAGCACAATAGTCTTGTGCTGGATTTTCTTGTTCCTCATTTGCTAATTCTGGTAATGCATTTACTTGTTTCTGTCAGTTCAATTGACCTTATTTCACAAAGTTAACACACTCAATATTGACATTGTTTTCCAAGGAGTCTTGAGTTAAGATAGAACACTGAACTTTATCTAAACTACAAGGTAGGGGGTAGACTGCCCCTCCGCGAGACACCCAAGGGGATTATTCTGCCCCAGTGAGAACATAGTCCTTGAGAGAGTTGGGTGCCTTCCTAACTTGCAGTGGATAATGTTGCGCCACTACAGTACCTAGTCCGGGGGCGCCAGCACAACAGTCTTGTGCTGGATTTTCTTGTCCCTCACTTGCTGATTCTAGCAATGCCTTTACTTGTTACTGTCAGTCCAATTAACCTTAATTCACAAGGTTAATGCACTCAATATTGACATCGTTTTCTAAGGAATCTTGAGGTAAGATAGAACACTGAACTTTATCTAAACTACAAGGTAGGGGGTAGACTGCCCCTCCTCGAGGCACCCAAGGGGATTATTCTGCCCCAGTGAGAACATAGTACTTGAGAGAGGTGGGTGTCTTCCTAAATCACAGTGGATAACATTGTACCATTTCAGTAGCCAGTCCAGGGGTGCCAGCACAACAGTCTTGTGCAAGATTATCTTGCTCCTGATTTGTTGAGTATCTATGTATTGCTCCACTCTGCCTTCATAATCCAGACTGTACAGCAGGTGAGCATAATCTTCCTCTTCCACAACATCCTCCAGCATTGTTTATTCCAATAGATGTTGCATTCCTGTCAAATCAACTTTATTTCACTTGGATAATTCACTCAGTAATGACAATTGCTGTGTGCCAATTCTGAGAGCAAACCTATGCCCTATGCAATGTCTACACATGTCTCTGTATATAACTCAGATTATCACTGTATTTATTTCTACAGTTGCTTTTTTTGTGGTTATGGCTATTGCTATGCCTTTACCTGTGCCTGTCAGTTCAACTGACCTTATTTCACCTGGAGTTAAGACGGATATAGCTATATGGCTTTAGCCATAGCTATTACTCAAGCTTTTAAGGACACTACAGCAGGAATCCTGGATTTGTACATCTGTACGGATTGCTTTATCCCTAATGAACTGAACTTCAATTCAATAGGTCTCCATGCTAGATGGTGAAGGGAAAATATTTTGGTCTACCATTAACAAGACTAATATCTGATCCAGAGCACCCCACCCACTGATCGGAGCATTACCAAGTACCATCAGAAGTAGTCAAGCTGGTGATATCATACATGGATTTACTGAAGATGAAGTTAACTCTGGGAAACTTCACCACCCAATGGCAGAGGCTCAAGAAGAGCATCATGACTCCCAACTTTCAGCTCTGTGCTCAGTGCTTCTGCTCCTCAGTCTCATCAGAGGTGGAAGAATTCAAAGCAACCAAGATTGATGTGAAGATCTTGCAAAACAGTAGTCAGCACGCTGCTGATGGTGATGGAAGCAGAAATTAACTGCAAACATGAAGAGATTGTTGGGGTGGTCTGTCAAGAGGGACTTTGAAACTACATTGCCAAGAGATGGAGCAAGCCAATGCCAAAGGCAAAAGAGGACTAGTGGTATAGAGGGTCCCAGAGGGAGCAAAGGAAGACTGCCACATAAAGCAGTAGGCCTCGGCAACCAGGGACAGTAGTTGCAGTGGAACCAAGCACTCACTGTCCTGGAAGAAACTTTGGGGTACTGATCAGGAGAAGTTGACCTTCCTCCTGCCTGCTGTGACTGACCTTTGCCAACACCAAATAACCCAAAGATCTAGGGTAAGATACGCCCTGTGAGCAGTGTGGAGCAACCCTTTGCACCCATTACGTCATGACTGGATGTGTCAAATAAATGGGAAAATACTAATACTGGTCTTTACAGAAATTCCCAAATGGATGGATCTGCTGAGTGTCAAAGACAGCAAACACCAGGCATCACTACCCAAAGATGCAATTTCCAAAGGTAAGGTAAAGTACTGCCAATAACCTGCCCTTCGTTTTGTTTGAAGTGGACCTGAAGAAGAATCTTGTCTTTCCAGAAAAGGAGGCTGTAACCTCACTCCAACCAGACACTATTATCCAGGAGCACAAAAATGATCTTAGTAGCCGATCTCACTGTGTCCCTGGAGGACAGACTAGCCATCTCTCACCGACTCAAGAAAGTTAAGTACCAAGTTATTGATGAAGCTCTTGTCAACGGATGCTTGATTCTAGAGTCAGTATTGTGTATTTTTCATTAGTTTTTATTGTATTTTTTATTTTTTATTATTATTTTAAGCTCAGTTTAGTTAGTTTCCTGAGTGGTTTTGCTTGTTTCAGTTTAGTTTGTATTGTTTAAAAAGGTATAGTTTTAGTTTAGTTTTCAATAGTTTCAATATTAGTTTTAGTTTTTAAAATATATGTAATTTAGGAAGTATGTTTTCAGGGGAAAGAGTTGAAAGGTTTAGTATAGGTTTTACAACACAAACACACTGACTCACAGTCATGTAGACATCCTAGTTTTAAACTAATGCATCAGGGACTACAAGCACCTTGCTACCAAACATTATGAACCCAAAGCTCTGTGTGTTTTGTCAATAATGACGTTGTTAGCAAAGGAGAGATGGGCAGTTTTTTCATTGCTGGTGGTTGTTTCAGTGTTTACAAAGCTCAACCTGAAGCGAGAACATATGTTGGGGAAGTGGTTCTGCAGAGTGTGTGCCTGAGCAGTGACTGAGACTGAATAAGAGACATCTGATGGCTCTAAATGTTTTTTTTTTTCATTTAGCCGCAGTGGGTTCTTGCTATCAATGCAATTACGGGCACTAGGAGGAGCAAGACGAACATATTTTTGTCATAGATTATCTGTCTCATGCACTACTGTCAGGAATATAGTAACATTTCCAGCAAATATGAAAGAAAGTTTTTGTAATGTTGCCTACTGCAACTTATTACAATAATATAATATAATATTATTATAATAATATTCCCCAGTAAAGCCAGCTGCAATGGTTTCTCAGCAACATCAGTGCACTATTTCTGAGACCAGCTAAACATGGTTAGTGGAACTCTTCTGCAGGGGAATTAATTTAGTCTTTGCTGCCCTACTCAGGTCAGGCATACAAGCTATAAGGGTTGAAACATGTGATCTGATATACCTGCTGAAGACGCAGAGGGGTTCCCAACAATACGAATGCTCTGACCATCCCTCCACCAAGGAATACCAACAGGAGGAGGAATTTGCAGCACCGTATCTTAAGTACAGTACCAGCCACTCAGCCCTAAGCTGTCTGCCAGCTAGATATATCCATTCATTCCATTCAGATAAGCAAGGTACTGTCATCGACCAGCTGGCAATGCGAGGTGGCTGTATACATAGCTCCTGCAGTTTCTGCTCGCATATCTGATGTTTACTTAATTTATATTAGTATATTATTATTGTTGCATTACTGTGTTTTGGTACAATTTCACATACTGTTGGGTAGATAATGATCCCACAAGGGTCATGGCAAGAAGTTTTTTTGCCTTCCCATTTGCAGTGAGCCTTTGGGGGCTCTGTATGTAGGTAATTTTTTTTTCTTTAAACAGATTATGATCTGTTTTGTATGTAAAATCTTTATCTACTAATCAACGAATAACTACAACTCTGTAGAGTGAAAAGTACAATATTTGCTTCTGAATTGTAATGGAGTACAAGTTTAAAATTGTATGATACTGTCTAAAAGTTATTGATAATAACTCACCGTTCTGCCAACATTTAACATTAATTTGGGGATCTTTACAGCAACACTGACCTTGGTGTCCATGTTTGAACACTGTTTAACAGCTTACCTCTGCCAGAATTTATAGGAACTTGTTTTTGTTGAGTGAAGACTGAGGTATTTGTCACCTGAAGGCTACAAACCATCCTTGTTCTTTGCCAGAGTGGATTTTTTTCTCTCCAGGAAACCTGGAAGGGAAGTAACAATGTGTTAGTTCCTATCTCTTTAAACAGGCTATCATGTATTGAAGTCATGCCAAAAACCTCAGTGGTGACCTGTTTGTCTATCCTTGATAGGTTTAAAACAAATTATGTTTCATCTACATTTGAGTAAAAGCAAGTGAGTCATTTTAATGACTACACAATAACTTTGTGTACTTGAAAACAACTTTTCCATCCTCTGGTTGTACTGTAAACCACAGTATAAAAAAGCCTCTGACTTACCTGTGTGGTCAAAAAGAAAGTTTCTCTGAGAAAGCAGAGACACTTATTGTCTGGGTCCAGTCCAGCTTTTGGTTGATATGAAGCTCTTAATGCAAAACATGTTGTCTGTCCAGCTGCAAACAGTAAAATGCCACAGTTCAGTGTGTGTCACTTCTAAATTGCATGTCGCATTCTAGAACATTCTTATGATGAAATAACAGAAGCACATTTGAATTCTCCAATTACACATTCTTTGGCAGCATTCTCACACAATATTGCAACTGTTATGTTTTAAAGTATTTACATTGAGACACATTCAGTTTTCACTTTGAAAGGAATTGTGAAACAAATTGCACAAACTGGGTGGCAACTGGGTTCATTCAATACAAAGCTTTTTGTGACTCAAATGCTTAAGTTCTACAACAATACAATACAATTGCTATGATTGTGAAATTATCATGACACAATTAACATTTTGTTTGGTTGGATTTCAAAATAATTAGGTGGCCCTGTTATTGCACAGATGTATGAATGGAGCTTACATTTTTCAGCATCAATTTATGAGGTGTGTAGTTAGAAAATATGGTAACACTTTATATTAAGGTACACCTATTCACCATTAATTAGTTGCTTATTAGCATGCAAATTAGTAACATATTGGCTCTTAAATAGTCATTATTAAGTACTTATTAATGCCTTATTCTGCATGGCCTTATTATACAACCTGTATATATACAACCTCAGAATTATTGCTTATTAGTAGTAAGTTAAGAAGTTGTTGTATATGAATTACAATCTCAATATGCTTTGCTTAGTATGGACTTTATAAGGTGGTAGTACCACAAGAATAGTTATTCTTACACTTATAGTTAACACTTAATGTTATAGTTACAGTTATAGTTAACACTTAATGAATATGGTCTGTTCTTACATAACATAACAAAACATAACATGTTAATAGTGTCCAAATAACTCTTAATTAAGTCTTTGTTACTTAGAATATGTTCCCCATACTAAAGTGACATCTTGATCATTACTAATTCACTAATAGTTGAACACTTATTAACCAACACATGTTCCCTAATCTAAAGTTGCCTCCTTTTCACACTTAGTTAATATATTATAGCACATAACTACTGCAATGAACAAGTGATGGGTTACACCTTTGAAAAAAATGGATCCATCTATAGGTTCCCTCTCATTCAGTGGTAGAATAACAAAGACAGCACAAGTAAAAAAGAAAGATAACTTAGCCTTGATAAATAAAAAAAAATCCCCATGGTAAGTCATAATTATTAATTATGGCTGGTTAGAAATATGTGCGTAAATTTGTTAAATTATTCGCCACGTGTGTTTGTTGACATTAGAACAGCTGTAGAGAACGGGAGCCGGGAGGAGTAGCGGCAGCCCGCTACACAGTGGAAACTGGCACCGCGTTCAGCGGTAGTTTAGTAATCCACGGTAGTACTGTTGTGTAGGAACCGTGACGTTTTGGCACCGCCAGTAACATGCAACACTAAATGTTTCAATCACAGCCCTACGTTGTATACGCCTCCCTGTAATTCACTCACTCATTAGGCTACTCTGCTCAGGCCGTGACGAGCAGAGACAACCATGTTACTTGTGTTGTTGTTGTTGTTGTTGTGAATGTACGGCAGGCTGTAGCCAACGATATATAGCGCAATTCATTACTTATGGGAAACGTTTCAAGAGCAACAGGCTTCTCCAAGCAGCACAGCACAGGGAGAAGTGGGTGTAATGTGGAAGACGTAGCCAGTCAAACCAACCAATAGAAACTCTTCTCTTGTGTGGATTATTTAAGTTACATTTTGCTGGTTATAGTGACATGAATATGTTTATATTTTTACTGCCTAAGGCCAAGAAGAAATTGTCCCTAAAAGTCCCTAAAGATGACTCGATGGCAGAGGTGACCAAAAATGATCTGGATGGTAAATATTTCTCTTTGTCAACTTTCAAGAAACTTTTATACTTAAATAATTAGCTTGTCCAAATGTGTTTAAATAGTTAAAGTCCTCTATTCATATGTTGATTTTGTTGTACCTATGCCATACTGTAGGTCCTGAAGATAAAGGAAGCTCTGCTCCAAGTTGCAGCAGTATAAGCAGCATTGGATCAGGTAATGATTTCTCATTTTCTAGCGGTGTATCTTTGTTGTCTAAAATTACAGAGTTTCATTTCTTGCTAGTGATTTTTCTACCTGGGATTAAAGTTGTTGGCAGATTTTGTCAGTATACATGTGCTTAACAAATCAAGTTAAGGCACACACCATATCTGGTCCACTACCTCTGTTGTATGCATGTCATTGGGGCGGCTGTGGCTCAGAGGCAGAGCAGGTCGTTCCTCAATCGGAAGGTTGTGGGTTCGATCCCCCGCTCCTGGTGCCACATGTCGAAGTATCCTTGAGCAAGATACTGAACCCCGATGCCGTGCATCGGTGTGTGAGTGTGTATTTCTGTTCGATGGACTTTGCCATCACTGAGTGAATGTGTGTGAAAGGGTGAATGTGGCACGTAGTGTAAAAGCGCTTTGAGTGGTCAGAAGACTAGAAAGGCGCTATACAAGTACAGGTCCATTTACCATTCTCTCTCCTCGCCTTCACTCACTCACTCAATATTGTCAAATCATAATCTTTTTTGTATCCTGCTCTCATTTTTGTTTTTAAGGATCAATCTCCAAAGTGGAGTTCCTAGAAGCCAGGATCCAATGGCAAGAAAAAATAAGAAGAAAAAGAAGAAATCATGTGAGTGATTTGGGAGCAACTTGTATCTGCAAAATATAATGTAATTGTAATGAAAGGTGTGATATATCTTCATAACAATCTGATCTTTGTCTCATGTATCCTCTATTTGATCGAAGCTCAGTCAAAAGTATTTACTTTGGAGGACAATGATGAGGATGACGTCATTCCCCCATCTTCTCCAGACATCAGTGAGTCCTCGGACAGTGATGTCCTCCAAAG